TATTTTATACTTTATTCGATTAGAGTTGGAGGAGGGGGCCAAAGTGCAGATTGGTTATTCCAAAAGTGGGCCGCTCCAATCAATTTTCCAATATAGGATTATTACTTAAGGGCATGTACACATAAAAATTTCATTTCCTAGTAATTCTGTTTTATGCTTTCTTAATTTAACACTTGGTGAAAGTAAGAGTTTTAAGTGTGGCAAACATGACAATGTTTTTTCAAATGGAAAACCAATAGCACACTAACTACACCATTTTCTCTTTTTAATTAGATATCTAAGAACTTTTCAGGGTCATTACTCTCATGCATTACTGTGATGGCCTCCACATTTGGCATAGTGATGACACTTAGTAAGTACTCAACCAATATTTGTTGAATGAACAAGCTTAATGAATTTCATTTTTTGCTAGTGTTTAGATGATTGTGTACCTAACACACACTCCTTCTTCCTTTCATCTCTTCATTAATCCATTCTCTCATGTCTTTCATGTGCAACAAGCTGTCATACTGTGTGCCTGAATCAGGAATTTCTTTTTACTTGGTTCTAGACCTAGGCTCAAGAAACAAATAACTTTAAACCTGAAAATTCCATTGGTTCCCACACTTACAGTTGCAGAATGAGTTGTGAAGGTGTGAAGACATGGAGACGAGTATATCCGACAGCCACTTCAGAGGTACAGTCAGTGGATAGGAGACAAGGAAAGGCCTTCCAAAAGGTGAAGCCGTTGGCCACAAAAAAGTGATGGAAAAGAGGGTTCCTTCCAGAGAATAGATTTGGAGGCTATTTAAGGACCCTACTAACCCACAGGGAAAGGGAGCCTTCTCAATTCATGCCAAATAGGATCTCCTAATAGTTATAATCACTCTCTTACATGTTATTGAACACATTCAACTCTTCTGAGCTTTGTTGACACCATCTCTGAGTCTTCTTCTAGACACATGATTTTGAAGCATGTCCTTGTTATTGATCTCTCTCTCTCTTCTTTTTCTTGTAAGGCTTTTCAAATTCCTTACATATATATTTATTTCTTACAAAACGTCTATTTCACTGGACTATCATTGAGGTCAATCACCAAGTCTGTTTTATTTATCACTTTATCCCCACTTTTCCTCTGGCACAGGGCAAAGTGCTTGGCATGTACTTGGCTCTTGAAATATATTGGCCAGATTCACATGCTTGTTTGACTGCTTCTAGAAACTTTCTTTTCATTTTGAACTTCTACGCATCTCCTTTGCCTCTAGCTCAGCCGTGCATTCAGATTATTTTATAAAAACACATTTTACCTAATATGTTTATTTGTTCTGCATCAGAAGGTATTTTTCTGATTCCCTATGCCAGGAGTTGGCAAACTTCCATAAAGGGCTGCACAGTAAATACTCTCATCTTTGTGAGCCATGATTTCAGTTTAATTTAACTAATTGAACTCACCACAGATCTCACATATATCTTTCCCATCCTCACCAGCATCACTTGAGTACATTATTATTATTATTATTATTATTATTATTATAAATCATCTCACTGGCAGAGGACTAAATAAATAAATAAATAAATAAATTGGCCCTTAGTTGGAGTGCCATGCTATAAAAGCAGAACAAAATTCTCCCCCACATTTGACTAAAAATATGGAAAGCTAAGTCCTTCCTAGGGTCCAGGCACAATTCTAAGTGCCTTTCCAATATTAATTCATTTACATCTTACCATAATTCAAAAGACAATGACTATTATTGTTTCAATGTGGAACCTGAGGTTAGGTTACATAAAGGCACATTGCTCAGTGGTAGAGAGTTGATGCCAACTCTGTCTGGCTTCAGGAACAATGTGCTTCTAGGGATATTTATCTCCTGACACTACTGAAGATATTTATCTCTCTTCCACCTCTCAGAAAGTCTCAATTATCATTATTATGCAGGTATTCTCCACTCTTCAGTAGCTACTGTGCTTTAGAAGATGATGTCACCTTCAGGGAAAGGCTGACTGACCTAGAGACACTCATCTCTGAACAGTGATTGTCTTACCTCAGAGGTTTCTGAACATATCAACCCATGGCATACCTCAGGTCACAGGGGTTGGCTAGAAATGGACATGCAACTCTGCCCTGACAGATGAGAGATGAGGGACAGTCACTGAGGTTTTCTAGAAAAGAAGCATCATCAATCTTGGGAGACCCAAGAGAAAGCCACCTCTTATCATTCAAAGATTGCCATATATGGATGTGTGAAGCCTGAAACCATGGCAACCATCTCATTCCTAAGGGCATCAAGCCACAACAAAATGGCAGAGCTGGAGAAACAGATGGAGGCAGCCAGAGCTCTGGTTAAGTCACAGTTGCTCCTAGTCTTGGACTTTTCATCATATGATCAATACTTTTGGTTTTTAGACCAATTTCAATTATTCAAGTCTTTCAGAATCTGGCCTCAGCATATTTCTTACATGTCTGCTCTGAGACTTCACTTAACTATGTAATTTTTGTCTTCAATTTTCTTTTTACCTCACCAACTAGTGGCACATGGTAAGCACTTCAATAAATTTCTGCATGCAAATCTGGATGACAATATAGTCTTACTCTACAAGATGCTTAATCATCTATAAAAATGCTATCTGATAAAACTAAGCCCTAAGAAGCTCAGTGGGACCCTGTCTCAAAATAAAAAAAAAATAACAAGAACTGGGATGTAGCTCAGTGGTAAAATATCCCTGGGTTCAATCCCAAGTACCAGAAAACAAACAAACAAACAAATAAAAAATCTATATAATTTAAGAAACCCAGTCTTAGCTTACTTGTCTTTATTTCAAATTTTCAGTTTCAAAGTAAATATGGGCAATAATACCTTGCATTTCACAGATGGCCAATAACTACTTGTTAGATAATTCCTTATTTTCACAGAGCTTTATCTACAGGCAGTTGGCAATAACATCCTTATATTCTGAAGCATAATGATTCATGTAGTGGACAGTGTTGGGATACCAAGAAATGAAATCAAGTACATAATTCTTTTCATGGAAACTTTTTATAGATTCCAGATAGTGCCAGGAAAGTGGTGCTTGCGTAACCAATAGCTTTTTTTTTTTTTAATATTGTCAAGTGATAGATTCTGTTCTTGTTTCCATGCAGACATTAGTATTTGTGGTAAATCACTATGTCTACATGCCCATGTCACATAGCTAATTGATAGTGCTGAGATTCAAACCCAGGTCAGCCTGACTTTGAAGCCCATTGTCTTCAGCACTATCTGATGATTACTGACAGTTCCCAGATTATGTGATGCACCTGATCTTGGGGCCCCACTTTGAGGATCATTGTTTAGAAAAGGTAACAGCTGATAACAAATAGAGCAACAGTGGAAACAAGTGTGAGGATTTACAAGGCAGTTTCAAGATGTTGTACCTAGCATAGTCAAGATGTCCAGAATAACACTAATGTTGCTGGGTTATCAAATACAGTGCTTTGAAAGGAGCAGCAAGAAAAAGCTTGTGCTGACCACAAGACTGTCTGCCACAAGATTTCTCTAGAAATGCTTAGCTGGCAACAGAACTGAGTGAACTGATGAAGGGTATGTCCACTACGTGAGGAAAATAAAGTCCACTGGGGAGATATATATATCTGAGTAAAGCTGAGAAAAGAGATCGGGAGTTTAGTCTAGGTTTTGTTTTTATGGCGTATCACCTTTTTGGTCTATTCTTAAAAACCATTAGTTATGAAGGCAGTGTGGGTTAGGAGGCCTCATGGAGTCACGCTGGGGCTTTTAAAGTCTGACTTGCTTATATACTAGGTGAGTGAATTTTGGTAAATTAATACATTAAGCCTTAGTGACTCCATCTATAAAATGAGGATATTAATGGCTATTCATTCACAGAATTTTTGCAAAGATAAAGGAGGGATGGCATGAAAAACCCTTGGAACAGTATACACTAGATGTTAGCTATTATTATTTGCACCACAGTGGACTCAGACCATGAGATAAGGAGAGAACTTCCCAGTTCACTGGATAATGGTTTATACTGAAATCCTGTCCTGGTGCCAGCAAAGAAATTTGATCATCAGTGTTTCTGGGCCATCTATAATGTGCTGTGCTATTCAATATACAAATACATATATTGGTTAGATGTCAGTATTTGCACACACTGGAGATAATTTGAAAAACAAACCAAAAAAATTGTCAACAATTCTTTAAATCTTCCTTATGCATAACCCAGGTGATTCTGTAAATTCCAAAGGATACTATCAACCAGAGAGATATGTACATTTTCTCATTTGATTCCTTGGTACATAATTGTTGTCATTTCTATTTTAAACATTGCAAATCTGAAGTTTACCAGGTAATTACAACAAATTGATAAGTCAGAATTTGCACTCAGATGTGTTAAAGACCAAAACCTACACTGCCTTGAAATTTAATATACATAACATTTTTTGGGAGGAGAGTGAGGGTTTGTTACCTATATGCTCATTCATAGGAACACAATATTTCATTTCCAATGTTTTTGACTTAGAAGAATATATGAGATAATAGAAAATTTAAGTTTTCATAGATATAAGAGCTAAATCATTTATTGTTTGGATAATTGAAAGTACTATTGTCTGGCTACTTATTATCATATTTGCTTCATACATAAAAAAAGGGGACATCATTGAATATCCAACATTTGGGGAGTCGGGAAATCACCTCAAACTTAGATGAAAATCAGTGAAAGAGTTTAGATGAACTTGTGACTGACAGATTTCAAGCCAGGAACATCCACTCTAGGAGTTTTAGTGTTTTGCCTATCAGTAATTTTCAGAATAAGATGATATCCTCACCGTCCTGGATGGAATCTAGCACTCTCTTCCCTCTTTTGGGAAAATATCACAGTCGGTTGCTATCTTAGTGTCTCCTTGTCTCTGCCTGCACAGATATTCTAACCCCACATGCAGTTTGGGGCTAGAAAGGAACACGCAGGGAGTCACTGTGCCCTAAGGCATTGCCCACGCACAGGGATCTTCCCCTGAGGCATACCTTACTGTTGAGGATCTGGAAAACCCTTTGCTGCAGGGTTTGGCCAGCCTTGGGTCTCACAAGGATGTAGATGACTTTCAGGTCAGGGCTGGTTCGGAACAGCTTCTCCATGAGCACTTTGCCCAGGAAGCCTGTGGCCCCGGTGATGAGGATGGACTTGTTGTCATAGAAAGCTGCAATCATGGACATGATTCCTCTTTTTCTCTTTTAGAACACTGAAAAGGGGTTCCTAAAAAGGAAAAGAAATAGCAAAAGATTACTGTTTTAGAAGTTCTAAAACTCAAACATCACTTAAAATATTTCCTCTGGTAGAGGAGCCAGGGGCTGGGGTTGTAGCTCAGTGGAAGAGCGCTTGCCTAGCATTCGTGAGGCACTGGGTTCAATCCTCAGCATCACATAAAAAAGTAAATTAATAAAGTTATAAAAAGTATTTTAAAAAGAAGAAAAAAAACAGAAAAAAAGTCAACAAACTGCTTTCTCAACTCTGGTCAAGATCCCTATATTAGTAACTACTTAAGAATAACGATTTTTCATAGCCATAATTTATATTTTGAAGATGTTGGGGGCTATGTTCTTAGGCAAAATTCTTCACATTCATGGGATTCGTTCATTCATGAATTTACACAAAAACTAATTTTGAGCACCAGTTATGCCTGATTCCATGCTAAATTCTGAAGATAAACAGAAAGAACACATAAGATTTGCTTTCATTCTTGCAAGGGAGGCCTGTGACACAAGACAAATAAATTCATAAACAAGATAATTACAGACTGATACAAATGGTCTGAAGTAAATAAAACAGGGATTAAAAAATCACCAATGCTATCCACTTAAGGAAATCTGCATTTCAAATCATATTACCTATATTCACAAAGTTCTTATTTAAGCCTCTCTTTTATTTGGTTGATGTGAGAAAAATTATTTTGTAAAACCCATATTGTGCCAACAGCAATTAATGATGTTTTTTGACATATCATAATCCACCCACTGATTTCTTAAGAATTTTGCACTTAGAAAAGATATTGAATGTTCTTGCCTTCCTGAAAGATATTGAATGTTCTTGCCTTCCTGGCTTGAAGCTCAGAAAAGTTGTGTCACCATGTTTGGAAGGCAGTATAGTATCCTGGATTAGCATGTAAATTTCAGCAGGACTCTGAGAAATCAAATCCCAATTCTAACAGCTGTGAGCCATGTGGCCTCAGGCAAATTATTAAATTCTCTAATGCTTCAGTTTCCTCATCAAGAATATGGGGATTTTACAAAAAACTTCTCTTAATAGTTCCATGGTAAGGATGAAAATAAGTTAACTCATGTAAAACCCTTAGAAACACAATTGCCTATATCATGTACTCAGGAATTGTCTAATAGTATAGTCACTGGTTTCAAAAATTTCTTCTTAATGGTTTCTGCCTTTCTTTTTGACACTTATTTCTTATGTATTTTATGTACAATCTTTTGGAAATAGATGACTTGTAATTCAATCACTCATAAGAATCAAGTAAAGTATTGTCACCAAATGTGACTTCCTCTTACCTCTTCCTTTATATATCAAATGTTTAGGTAGCTTGATCCTTTAACACGGTAATTGGCATAAATGGTCATGGGTGGCAGGGAAATGCAGGTAGAAAACCGAAAATATACTGTTATTATATTTTTCTCCAACACATAGTTTTGCAACACAGAATTTATAGTTTTAGAGAGAAAATAAGATATCTTTAATGAGACTACTTCTTTTTTCTTTCTTTCTTTCCTTCTTCTTCTTCTTCTTCTTCTTCTTCTTCTTCTTCTTCTTCTTCTTCTTCTTCTTCTTCTTCTTCTTCTTCCTCTTCTTCTTCTTCTTCTTCTTCTTCTTCTTCTTCTTCTTCTTCTTCTTCTTCTTCTTCTTCTTCTTCTTCTTTTAATGAGTCTATTTCTTTGGTAAGAAAGAATGGTTCAATATGTCCCCAAATAAAAGAATTTGCCTCTTCTGTCTATAGTCCAAATACTTCTTAAACACAATAAATCCATAGGAGAATACATTGAGGGCTTGAATAGGAAAAGAAAACATGATCCTAGCCCTCATCATCATGACGTGGTAGAGCAGTTGGGGCCATGATTCTAATCAATTCAAATGGTTCTGAAAAATGTATAAGAGAATTCATTCTTTTATTTCTTATTTCCAATCTGAATATATGGGTTGATTTCTCAGAAACTCCTATACAAAACTCTCTGTAGTCCCCTTCCCTACATTACAATTTTGCAACATTTAGGAATTGTTAATACTTAATATAATTTGTTAAAAGTGAAATTAATTATTTCTAAAATTGAAATAATTTCACACTCAGTAATGGAGTACATGCAATGCTAGGATTAGGACTGTGTTTAGAACAGCATACCATGCCTTTTACACCTTAGACTACCCAAGGCAGAGAACAAAGGATACTTTCTTATGCCTCATGCTCATGATATGGCTTGGGAAAAGGACAAATCAAGATATTATCCTTCCCAATCATCCTGAATAATTTAAGATATCTGATGTTTAAAAGAAAAAGAGAAGGGACTGATGGTATTCAGCCTGTGTATTTTTATTGAAGATCTACTATATGCCACACACTGTCTCAGCACTAGAATTAGCAATAAATGGGCCTTATATAACTTATCTTTGTTTTTTAAAATTTCTGTTTTAGTTGACATATCCAGCTGGGATCCTTCATTTCTATTCTGGAGCATTTCTTTTCTCCTTATGATCATTAGTTTTCATGATCAGAGTATAGAAAAATAATTTTTATTCTCCCTTTGGTAGTAAATCAGGACCAATCTCATTCCTAGAGAATAGATGTCAAAATATTGAACCATTATAGCTGTATCAAGTTACATATCTGTTGCAAGTTTCAATGTATGGAAACTTTTTTGGGGAAGGGTTCTTAAATTAAGAATTTTAATCCTAGGAATTTTAATCCTAGGAATCCTGCATAAGGCCTGTTTCCAGTTCTGAGACAGTGCCTGGCATATAGTAGACAGATAATGACAGATAATGAATCCCATCACTCCCTTCTCTTTCAAACACTAGATATCTTGCATCATTCAGGATGTTGAGGAAGGATAATATTCTGACTTAGGCATATCATAAGCCACTTGAGGAGACAAGTTTATCTAAATGTCTTGGTAATCCTTTGGGAAGAAAGTTTTTTTCTCCTTTAGTAAGTATTTACTGAAATTCTGCCATATATTAGGCCCTGTGTTAAATATTGGATTAATTCTACTGCATCTTAAATCCTCACACTCCAACATGAGTTATCTTGGATGTAAGATAATAGCACTTACATCCATCCCACATCCAAATCACAGAACACAGTCATCTTTGATACTTTCCTTTTTCATATTTTCCTAGAGCTAATCATGTCACTATGTTCCAAAAATTCTACCTCTTAATATGTATCAAGTTGTACCCTCCTCTCTATTTTTACAGGGTTATTACAGGCCTCCATGCTTTTTCAATTTCTTATTCAATTAAAATAAACTGAAATGGTTTCTTTCTCTTCAGACTTGACTTTTTCTAGTCTAGTGGCTTTTCAAGCCGTTAGTGCATAAAATTCGTCTGGACTACGTGTGAAAAATGAAGATCTCCAGTTATCATCTCAAACTGACTCTGAAAGTTAGTCTTTTTTTTTTTAAGCACAGGAAGTGATTTTCCTGTAGGGTATGAAGGTCCACATTTGAGAGAGTCTGTCTCATTACTGATAGGGTACTCCTTTCCAAAAGCAAATGTTACCCGTCATTATCTTCATTGTTAGGAGAGAAATATTTTTATAAGGAAACAGGGCACTTTGCCTCTTGGGTACCTTTCTCTTGGTTAGGGTTTTTCAACCTTGGTGCTGCTATTGATCAGATAAATCTTTATTGTGCAGGCTGACCAGTGCACTGTAGGAGGTTTAACAGCTTCGTTGTCCTCTAGGAAATAACTGCCACTCGGTTTCCCCTACCATCCAAGTGTAAAACCCAAAATGTACTCTAGACTTGGCTAAATGTGCCCTGGAGAGAAAATCGCCCCCTTTCAGAGAGTCATTGTTCTAGAACTTTAAAATTTTTATATTGTATAATATTCAGCACATCCTTTTAAAAAGTTCAAGTTTAACACTTAAATTTTTGCTTGGTAGGCTAAATACAAATATGATCCATCATCAATACTTATTTTTCCTGTACTGAATCATTCACAGCTAATTACATTTGCCCAAACAGATTACATGTGGGTGGAAAATCTTGATAGTGTTCAAAGTGGAGAAGGAAGAATTTTCCAGAGAGAAGTCTTTTAACTTTAACCAAATTTTTAATTTAATTTTTAAATTTTAACTGAATTTTAAACACAGAAATTACTTCAATAATTATGCTATATTAAGGAAAATAATATACAAAATCATATTCAAACCTGTATAAAAACAATGTCCATTACAAATCTCCAGTATTTCATCAGTGGCAGAATTTGGAGGGGAATGCAATAAATAATAGTAGTTGTATAGTAGTGTGATAAGATTAAAGTTGAAGAGTGTTGTTTCATGTCTGTGATATCTTGTCATGATTTTAAGAAAGGTAATTTAATAATATATACTTTAAAAAGAAGTGTTTGGAAATTAGTGACAGTAATGTATAGTCTCCTCTTTTGCTATAGGTTATAGAAATGTAGAGAAATTTGCAAAACAAATTCCTTGGAGTAAGGTCTTCTGACATTACCTACTGTTAGGGGCTGAACTGAGTCTCCTAAAATTGAAGTTAAAGTCCTAACCCCAATGTGTTGGTATTTGGAGACAGGGAATTTGGAAGGTGATTTAGGTCAAGTGAGGACATGAGGGTAGAGCCCCAATCTGATAGAAGATGTCCTTATAAGAAGAGGAAGAATGATCAGGAGCTCTTTCCAAGCAGGTGCACAGGAAAAGACATAGGAAAAAACAGTCTGCAAACCAGGAAGCTAGGCCTCAGAAGAATCTGATTGTTCCAATGCCTTGATCCTGGACATCTATCCCCTGTAACTGTGAGATAATAAATGTTTGTTGTTTAAGTTGCCTGTGTTGTCGTATTTTACTAGGGTAGCCTGAACTAACCAATGCATACAAAAATACACATCAACAGGAACTGTGTTAACTTTTGACTAGAGAGCAAAAATAACTCTTGACAATAATTCATATCAACTTTGAAATTCTGGAGTAAATATTTACAATGAATTAAATGCATTGGCCTCATTTTCCTATTTTATAA